CCATTCTGGTAATTAGAGGGGGTACCTGAGTGAGTGGACACCCAACCCCTGAGGGTTCTATTACACATGTGCACAGAGCTCCTTAAAATTTAAAGGGATAGTTTCCACTTAAAATGGCAGTGCAAAACGGCCACCGCAGGCCCTGAACTGTTTATCACTACAAAAAAGGCCTGAACAGGGATGATTGTGGAGCGAGACAGGCAGACTGAAAAGGAAACAGGCTAAAAATTAAATCCTGAGTTATGTCATAACAACCAACAGTGGCATCTTAAAATTTCTCAGGAAGAAGAGTGAAAATGGAAGCCCATCTCCTGATCACATCTACCTAGAGGCAATCAGAATGCATAAAGAAAAATACCAAAACACACACCCATCTAAGTATTAAGGCTACAGCTAACTACTGAATATGCCCAAAACACAGAAACAGATGACCATATCAGCACATGTCCAGAAACAAAATAAAGTGACTGGGACAAATGAGTTGAAGGTAGACCTACACTCTATCCTTGAAGGAGAGCAGGCTTTGGAAATACCTGAGAAGGAATTCAGAAAAATGATTATAAAATGTATCAAAACACTTCACAATGGAGTTGAGAAAAATAAGGAAGAAGTCAGGAAAGTGCTACAGGAACAACCAAATAAGATAGAGCATTGGAAACAATCCAAAACCTACAGAAAGAGGTCCAAATGATTAATAATTGAATATCAGAAATGGACAATACAATGAAAGGACAAAGGAGTAGAATTGAAGAGATGGAAGCCAGAACTAGTGAGCTAGAAGATAAATCTCTCAATACTACTAAGATTGAAGAATAAGCAGAAAAAAAGGATACAAAATTCTGAAGAAGGTCTAAGATTCATGTTGGACAAACGTAAGAATTATCAGCATTTCAGAACAAGAAGAATTACACAAGTTCACAGAGGAGATAGTTGAAGAGCTCCTGAAAAGCAAAAAGATAAGCATTCAAGAAGCTCAGCGAACCCCAGGAAGGATAGAACCTAAAAGAAAACCACTAAGACATCAAGTTCTCCAAAATCAAATATAAGGAGAGACTCCTGAAAGCAGCTAGGGAAAAGACAAGTGTTACATAGAAAGGCAAGCAAATCAGATAAGCTTGGATCTCTCAGCAAAAACCATGCAGGCAAGAAGGGAATGGGGAAACATATATAAAACTCTGAACGGAAAAAAAAAAACTGCCAACTAAGAATCCTCTACCCAGCAAAGCTGTCAATCAAATACGAAGGTGTAATCAAAGCATTCCAGGATAAATAGAAGCTAAGGATTTTGCCAAAGCCAACCCAGCGATGAAAAACATCCTAAAGGGAGTTCTGTGGACTAAAAACCAACAAGAACAGACAACAACCAGAGATTGACTTACCTGGCAGCATCACTCGGAACTCAATCGACAAATGGAGGAGTGGAGAACAGAATAAAACTTTAAGAACAACAACAACCAAAAAAAGACAATGGAATTTTTCCATGAACTTTTTCTTTTTCTTTTTTTTTTTACTTTCATTGTGAATTGGCTTTCAGACAAAAACCATACACTATCTCAATGATTGCAGTCTCCTCCATGAAAAAACAGTTTACCTATTTCCTACCTGTGGTTCCTATTTCCATTCCATCTACCTTCCCTTTGTCCTTAGGTAAATGTTACCCTTTTGATTTCTAATGATTGACCATTCCATTGTGAGCATACCTTACTAGTGTTGTTGTCTCTCAGTATTCCTGTCTACTGCTTGGCTGAAAATTGGGCCCTGAGGGTGAGATCCTTTCCAGACCTGAAGGGTGGTCTAGGGTTTTAGTCTCACTTTCCTCCAGTCTCTTTCTGACTAGTAAGCATGGTCTTTTTTTTTTCACACTTGAAAAATCTTTTATATATATAATTTTTAGTTTTGTTCTACATTTTCTGTCACTCTATCTGGGACCTTCAACTATGATCCCTTTCAGAGCAGTTGGTAATGGTAGCCAGGCACCATCTAATGCTGGTCTCAGAGTCATAGAGACTGATGTTCATTCACATGGTCCATTAGTCAACTGGACTACTTGATTCCAAATATCTTCAATTCTCATCACTCTTCTTTCTTCCATGAACTTTTTGAAGACACCTCATATGCACCAATAGATCTGTTTTGGAAGAAGTGCAGCCAGAGTGCTCCTTGGAGGCCAGAATGCCTAAGCTTCATCTCTCATACTTTGGACATATTGTCCGGAGGAAACAATCGTTGGAGAAGGATGTCATGCTGGGTAAGGTGGAGGGTCAGAGAAAAAGAGGAAGACCTCTAACGAGATGGATTGGCCAGGTGGCATCATTGATGGACTCAAGTGTGGCAGTGGTAGTGAGGTTGGCCCAGGATCGGACACTGTTTCGTTCTGCTGTGCATGGGGTCGCTATGAGTCAGTTCCAACTCGATGGCACCTGACAACAACAACAACAACATATGCACTTTGTTGTTGTTAAGTACCAAGGAGTCGGTTCCGACTCATAGTAACCCTGTACGGGGTTTCAGAGGCTGTAAATCTTTATGGGAGCAGAAAGCCTCATCTTTCTCCCGCAGAACGTCTGGTAGTTTCAAGCTGCCGACCTTGAGATTAGCAGCCCGATTCATAACCATTACGCCACCAGAGCTCCTTCATATGCACTTTAGGGGACTTATTAAAATCTCATGTAGGGCCTTTTCAGTGTACACATGCTTTCCTCTTGCTATGACCCATTCCGATGTGCTTCCCATAGTGGGCACACTCTACCACCACTACCCTCAGTCCCCTGTCCTACCATTCTAATTCCCAGTTCTTAAATGATTTTGATAAATTTGCAGAAATTTAGGACAACTCACAATGTGATAGGTGTGCTCCTGACACTCCTGAAAAGAATCAGCTATGTGGGCTGATTGGCTCTGCTCATTCCCTGAAGCATTCCAGAAATTGGAAGAGAGGTTAAAGTGTCTGTCACTTGTGGCTGCTCCTTCAGGCTTCAGGACTTTTACACTGAATTCTGACATCTACATACAAGCTCTGCAATGAAAAGTGGTGACAACAGAAAAAGTAGAAATAAGGGCAACATGGTCAGTTCTCAGTTTTGACAGTGGTCCTTGGTGACCCTTGAAAAGTAATTTACTACTTAGTGCATCTGTTTTCTTATCTCAACACCTCAAAAGTGATTTTGAACATCTGTTAACAAATAGTTGGCACCTGTAGTAAGACTTTCCTGATTATTCTCACAGTGGGAAATCTGTGGGTTTATGAAACTGGAAGAATGTGTAGCTTTAATTGCCTTATAAACTATTTGATTAAGACTCCATCTACTTGTGTATGGTGGTTAGACAAGTTGTCCAGTTGTTTGAGTCCCACAATGACTAAGAAGCTTGAAAAGATAGTTGCCTTTTAGGAGATAATTGTTGTATATAAGAGAAATGAGAAAGGGACCACACAGACTGTAGATAAAAGTAGATGCTTCCATTTTAGATGCTTAAAGTAAATATTAAGGGCCACCATACTACATAGGCACTGAGTGATGTTTTGCATAATGATAACAGTAAAAAAAATTATTCTAAAATGTGTTTTTCATTGATCTTTTTCTTTAATCCAGACATAGTCTCTTCTCCCCTTAAAATATAGTAATATCAGAGTGGTCAGTTGTTTCACACTTGAAGATAAACTTGTTTGGAAGCTAGAAGTTCTACTTTACATCAATTTTGCTTTTGTTTCTAATTGTGTAAACAAAGAAATCTGTGGGGAGGATGTAATGGGCAAGATTCTACAGGTAGAAACCTACATATTCCTTAAATTTTCATTTACTTGGGAGGAGAGTTTCGGGGAAAGTGGCCGGTAACTATTCTGTGGCTCTATAGTGTAAAATTAAAACATGTTATATAGGTCCTAATCAAATGGTTAATTTGTAGACTGCTTGGGTGGTTGGTTAATTAAGTGAGTGAATGATGAAATAATAAACACCCTGCCTTGTCCTCAAAAAGAATTTAATACCCCTGAAGTTTTCAAATTCTGGGGCCTCACAGGGGATATTTCTCTAACATTTTCACACAGAAAAGGATGACCTCCAATTCTTTCCTCTCTACTGGCTGCACATGCACATCTCTTAGCAGTGTTTCCTTAGAGAATAAAATCTTAGGTAATTTTCATTCCCACTTTGTAGGAGAAAATCCAGTTATCATTCTCATTCCTTCCAAACCTATGGTGCCCTTGTACGCTGGCCCAACCCTTTAGATCACATAGTTACGAACAGCTTTATTGGTTCAAGTGAGATAGTGTAGCATATTAGGTGAGAGTGTGGGCTCTGAGCCAGACTTAATATCTTGTCTTAATGTCTTCCAGCTGTGTGACCTTAGGCATGTTACTTAACTGTTCCGTGTCTCAGTTACAAAATGTGGATACTACTAGTAACTGTATCATAGAGATATACGTATGATTGTGTGTTCTTTTAGAAAAGTAGTAAGTATTCAATAAATAGCTACACCCGTGTGGTGCTGTGGGTAAGTGTGCTGGACTGCTACGTCAGTTTGAATCGCGAGGTTGGCGGTTCACGCTCACCAGCTGCTTATTGGAAGCCCTATACAGGGTCACTATGGATCAGAACTAACTTGACGGCACTTAACAACAATATTATTTAACAAATACTTATTGCCTGCTCACCAGTTGCCATGGAGTTATTTCTAACTCCTGGTGACCCCCATATATGTCAGAGTAGAACTGTACTCCATAGATTTTTTAGTGGCAAATTTTTTAGAAGAGGATCACCAGGTCTTTCTTGCAAGGTGCCTCTGCATGGACTTGAACCTCCAACATTTTGGTTAACAGCTGAGATAACTGTTTTTGCAACATCCAGGGACTCCTATTAAATTCTAGACCCAGACTGTATGTTCAGATTACCATGAACTAGATCTTTCCTTGCCCCTTTTACATAGAATATGTTTACTGTGCTCAGGTCATATTAATATGTGTTATGTTAACTTGGATTTGACAGGTTTATTTTATTTTGTAGTTGAAATCAAGTGAGTTTGCTGTCCTGAAGCAGTTGATGCCTCTGCTGGAGAAGGTCTCTAACACATACCCTGACCCTGTCATCCAAGAACTTGCTGTTGATCTCCGCATCACCATCGCTACCCATGGAGCCTTTTCCACTGAGGCTGTCAGTGTGGCTGCCCAAAGTACCCTGAACAAAAAAAATCCAGAAAGGAAAATAGAAGGACAGCAACAAACCAACTGCGAAAGATCCACTGATGTAACCAATAGCTGCCTCAAACAACAGGACAGTAATGAAGAATCCAGTCACCCAACAGACCTGAAATATAATAATGCTTCACTCATTCCTCAGGAGGTGAATGAACCCAGCACAACAAGCCAGAAATCCGGAGGCGTACTCCCAGAAGAGCTTCAGGAGATTCTTTTATCAGCTTATGACCCTCAAATTCCAACCCGGGCTGCTGCTTTGAGAACTCTTTGTCGCTGGATAGAACAGAGAGAAGGAAAAGTCCTGGAGATGCAAGAGAAGCTTCTCAAGGTAAGTAGTACATCCTATTAGCACATGTGCACAGGGTGGGGCAGCTCTCCAGAAGCATTCATTGAGCTCAAGTATTTTTGGAGCGTTGGCTGTATGTCAAGCACTGTCCTGGACTACACTCAAGGAACATGTAATCATTCTGAGACAGCAAGACTTAGACACAGAAAAGACCTAGATAGACACTACTGAATTACAAATAAGTGCCAAAATTTATATGGAAAGGAAATGCAGTATATAGTCAGGGAAAGGAGAGAATTGAAATTTTCTGGAGGAAGTTGATCTAGAGAAAGAAAGGTGGATGAAACAACCGGTACAAATTCCCAGAGATGTGAATGTATGAGGATAAGTGAAAAAATAGGTAATAGAAATCTTTATTAAACAAAAATAGCAAAATGTGTTTACTCCACAGAATCTACATCTCTGTCTATATACTGTGGAAGGCAGTGTTTCCATCTCTCTAACCCTTCCTTGAATTTTGTGATCTATTTATACCACATCAAAATGGCAGCTTGGGCATCTTTGAGAGACTCAGATTGTGTTCCTGTTATATGGTCTTTGAGTTTTGGGAACAAAATGATTCTTGAAGGGACAAGATGAGGGCTGTAGGGTGGATGGGATGAGATTTTCCAATGAAATTCTTGTGAGGCAGTTCTTGCTACCATTAAAGAATGAGCAGGTACAGTCTTGATGGGAAAAGCTTGCTCAGTGCAACTTTCCAGGCCTTATTTCTCACCTGTTTTCAGTTTTCTCAAACCTTTCTTTTAAAAAGCCTCCATGCTCATTTTATATCCTTTGAGAAAACCTATCAAGGGTACTCAAATCTCAAAGACCAATTATGATAATCTTCTGAGCTGACTTTTCTGCTTTGAATTTAATTGGCCCAGTAGGTCCTCTTGGAAACAACTGTTTTGATTGAGCCTTCTCTTTTTGAAGGTGCTCTAGTGAGACCAAGACAGGTGTATTACTTTGAGAATTTGTCTGTAGCCATCCACTGAGCACAAAGATGTATTTAAATACATTTTGTTTGGAACAAACCCATACATGTATAAACTGGAACCCTCGTAGTAATACTTCTTGACTTACTCTCTTACCTTTTGTGGATAGGTCCACTTCTAACCTATTTTCTCTGGACCCTGCTTTGTGAGGTATTGGGCCGAGATGGGAATTGGCATTTCTCCTCCCTCCATAGCTAGTTAAAAAGCTGTTCTTTCAATTATATGTTTTTGTGGAGGATATAATATGTTTATATTTACTTGGGGATCTTTTTCCCCTTTTGTATAAATTGTCCTAACCATATTATGGGTTAGACGTGAAGGGCAAGAGATCCTAGAGATGACTAAGTGTGTTCAAATTCCAGATCAATTTCTTGTGCCAATCGTTTATACCTTCTGAGCCTCAATTTCTACATCTGTAAAGTGAGGATAATAATAAGGCCTACTTTATGTTGAAAGATTTAAAATGAAGTAGTCCATATAAGGAGTACTGGTGTGGCACTGTGGGTTAATGCGTCAGACTGCAAAGCCGTTTGAACTGCAAAGGTTGGTGGTTCAAGCTCACCAGCTGCTCCTCGGAAACTCTATGCAAGGTCGCTATGGGTCAGAATTGATTCGATGGCACTTAACAACAACAAAGTCCATGTAAAGTACTAATTACAATGTTAGGCACTTTTCCTCCTTTTGCGTTTGCTATTAGACTAAGAATTATAATTCTGATTGAATAAATTACTGCTTGTTAGTGAGCCAGACCTCATACCATACAGACATTCCCTTTAATTCGTACAACAATGACAATGTAGATATTATTCCATTTTATGGATGGGAAAATTGAGGCATGGAATGTGCCAAGAATTTGCTGTCATTAAATTGTCTCTAAAATCCTAAACTTACATATCTCCTTTGAGTAATCCTGAAAAATAATCCTTCAAACACATATTTAGATAGATGGTCGATGCTGTGAATGATGTATGAAGCTCATCTATGCTCCATACCTGATTCCCACCTCTTCCAACTTGGCCATCTCATGGCTAAACTAATCTTTGGTTCTCCTGAAGGTGCTTAAGATGTGGAGACCAGTAGTGCCAAGTTGATAACAAGAATTGCTGTGGCAGCAAAGCATATGGCAGTATATATGAAGTGGCTTTGTCTTCCCTTGGCTACCAAACAGAAAGAAGAAACATGGGCACAGGATACTGGCTCTCTCTGGCCCTCATGTTAGTGCCTAAACCTGATAAGACTTTTCTAGAGAAGCAAAACCACTAAAGTTGACACACCTGGTGGGTTCCTGAATTATGACTTGTATGGACAGTAATCTCCACTAATGTTAATTGCTGTTGTTGTTAAGTGCCGTTGAATAGGTTCCGATTCCAAGTTACCGTGTGTAAGGTTTCTGAGAAGTAGCCACCGACCTTGTGATTCCAATTGACCTTGCAGTCTGTTTCATTAAACTGCCAGAGAAGAAGTCAAATAAGGATGTGAAACGAGAGATAGATATGATTGCTAACATCAGATAGATCCTGGTTGAAAGCAGAGAATACCAGAAACATGCTTACTTGTTTGTGCTTTACTGACTATGCAACATCCATTTTTGTCTTTTGCTTCTTTTCTGTGTCCTTAATGTCCTTTTGCTTTCTTCCTATATGATGGTTTTTATGTCATCACACTCTTCTGGTCTTGAGTCATTAGTGTCCAATACATCAGATATGTTCAAGGTCATATTTGGCTCTCATAGACTTGTTTTAATTTCCCTCAGCATCAGTCTGGATTTGCTTCTGAGCATTTGATGATGTGTTCCAGTCTGCCCCTGGCCTTGTTTAGGCTGATGATATGAAGCTTTTCCACCGTCTCTTTCCACAGATATAGTCAATTTGATTTCTGTGTATTCATTCCATCTGGTGTGGTCCATGTGTATAGTCATCTATTATGTTATTTTAAAAAGGTATTTGCATCATTGAAGTAGTCTTGCAAAATTCTATCATGTGATCTTCAGTATCATTTCCTTCACTAAGGCCATATTTTCCAACTACTGATACTTATTCTTTGTTTCCAACGTTTACATTTCTATCACCAGTAATTATCAATATATCTTGATTGTATGTTTGATCAATTTCAGCCTGAAGAAGTTGGTAGAATTCTTCAGTTTCATCATCACTGGCTTTAGTGGTTGGTATGTAAATTTGAATTAAAGTGTATGATGAACCCAATGCCATTCCTCTTCAATTTGTCATTCCCAGCATAGTAAACCATATAATTGTCAGATTCAGAATGGCCAATACCAGTCCATTTCAGCTATCTAATGCCTAGAATATCAATCTTTATGCTTTCCATTTCATTTTTGACAACTTCTAATTATCCTAGATTTATACTTCATTTATTCCATATTCCAGTTATTAATGAATGTTTGCAGCTGTTTCTCCTCATTTTGAGTTGTTCCCCATTAGCAAATGAAGGTCCTGAAAGCTTTGGTCCATTCTTGTCATCACAGTCAACTCTACTTTAAGGAGGCAGCTCTTCACCATTCGTATTTTGAGTGTCTCCAACCCGAGGGCTCAACTTTTGGTACTCTAGCTGACAATATTCTGATGCTATTCATAATGTTTCTATATTGAATATTCAGGTGCTATCTGACAATGATGCACTGTTATTCATGAGGCTAAACATTCGGAAGTAGTCCACCTCTCCATCTTCTGAGTCTTAGTCTGCAAGCTCAGCTGGAACTTGTCCACCATGAGTGACATAATGCTGATATTTAAAATACCAGTGGCATAGCTTCCAGCATCACAGAAACATATACAGTCACCACAGTACAATAAACCACTGATGGACTTCAGATAGTATCTCTCCCTAATCCCTACTCTACTTTATCCATTGTTTAAAAATGGGACTTCCAGCAAATGAGGGGGCTACAAAAGTTCATGGAAAAATTTTTGTTATCTTCTAATTCCATTTTTCCATGAATTTTTTTTTTTTTTTTTAAGGTTTTGTTGTGAATTATATGATCATTTACATGGGAGAACATTAGCTTTACATTCATCCTCTCGTATATGGTTTCATTGCCATGGTTACAATCCCCTCCATGCATCATCAGCCAACCAAAGGGTATACCCTGCAAGCCTGCCCCACAGTCGTCAGCACACAGCCCCTCTCCCTCTCTGGGTCTAGAGTCCCCAGCTGCTCCATCTCTGGCGTCACTGTGTCTCTAGGTAGGGTCTCCATGAACTTTTTGATGTATGTAGTTTTTCCTACAAGACTAAGTTAGGTCGATGTATAACTAAATAAACAAGAAGAAAGGCATTTATTCTTTTGAGATTGCTGAAAAGAGTTTGTTAAATCATCTCACTGCTATATTTTGTGGTTCCAGATATTCTTGGAGAACCTGGAGCATGAAGACACCTTTGTATATCTGTCTGCTATTCAGGGTAAGTTAGTTCTGGTTAGAGTCTATGGGCCAAAGCTTTATATAATGCATGTCTGCAAAAATAACGCAAGTCTGAAGAAAAAACAAAAAGCCTATGTCTATCCAGATTGCTATTCTCTTGATTCCTTACTTTTAAAGTCATAATCATAGTATTTCTGGAAAGTTTCTAACGGGTCCCTATAGAGCATGAGTGTCTCATAATGATGAAGAATTCTTTGTGTGTATTCTTATTCTATAGACCAAGTCCCGTTTCCTCTAATTCCAAGGAGATAGAGAATGTCTCATATATAAGCTCTCTTTATATTTATTCTTTATGTACTTGACTATTGCCAGTGTGTATATTTGATCCCTTTTTAAGCGAAAAGAATCTCAAGACACTTGATACTTCTTAGTTAAAACTTTGTGTACAATAATTTCAATTCACTTTTGTGATTCTCTGTTATTCTCCATATCTCCATGAATTTCTGAATTCCAAATATAGATAGAGGTTTCATGCAAAGGAGTGTAAAAATGTAGTCACCCTGCCCATAAAGGTAAGAAACAGACATGATGTAAAGGTCAGAATCTGTTCAGTTTCTTTTGGCTCCATCAGTGTAGTGTAAAGGTCAAGACCTAGGAATCTGGAGACAGACTGCTTGGATGGATATACATCCCCATTCCCTCACTTCTCACATGAACTTAAGCATGTTACTTAGTTCCTCTGGGCTTAAATTTTCTTACCTATATGGCGGTGGCGGTGGTAGTGTGCCGTGGAGTCGGTTCCGACTCATAGCAACCCTGTGTAGAGTTTCCAAGGCTTTAAATCTTTACAGGAGCAGAAAGCCTCATCTTTCTCCCGCGGAACACCTGGTAGTTTCAATGCCAGCAGCCCAACTCGTAACCACTACGCTACCAGAGTTTCCTTACTTGTATGTTGTTGTTAAGTACCGTCAAGTCATTTCCGACCCGTAGAGACCCTGTATAGGGTTTCCAAGGAGCAGCTGGTGAGCTTGAACTGCCGGCCTTGCAGTTTGAACGGCTTTTAAGTCTGGCACATTAACCCGCAGCACCATACCAGGACTCCTCTTACCTGGGTAAAGGGGTCTAAATGAGAACACAAAATGATGTGGGCACTTGGGAAAACAGTCTGATAGTTCCTCAAAAAGACAGAGTTACCATTTGGCCCAACAGTATATACCTAAGAGAAAGGAAACATGTTTATATAAAACTTGTATGTGAATATTCATTATTCATAGGAGCCAAAAGGTAGAATCAACCCAAATGTCCATCAATTGATGGACAGATAAACAAAATGTAATACATCCATATATTGGATTATTATTTGGCTATAAAAAGGAATGAAATACTAATACATGCTATAATTTGGATGAACATTGAAAACATTGCGCTAAGTGAAAGAGGCCTGAATTATATGAAATATCCAGAAAAGGCAAATCCATATATACAGACACAAGACCTGGACTTTAGTCTTGGCCTGCATTGTCTATTCCAATATGCACTGGTTTACTTGTAAAGCCAAAGGCTACCAACCCATTAAAAAGGACCAGCTGGAATGGGTGGTGTGGGCAGCTAGAGATCTTGGACAACTCTAACTCTACCACATTTTTACTAACAGCCTTAGGGAATGCATTCAACATTTCCTTTGTACTTGGTGAAAATGGGATCATCATTTTGTTTGCTCAGAAAAGTTTTGATTAGATTTAAATACCTTAAAACACCAGTCATTTATTATTACTCATCTATCTCTAGACCAGTTAGCATTCAGTTGATCTAGATTAGGCTTGCCTGGGCAGCTCTGCCTCTCCCTGTAGGTCTGTGGGCTGGCCCTTGGGCAGCCTGGAGTGACTCTGCTGCACATGTTCTCCATCCTTCCTGGACCAGTGTCCTACCAAGGCATGTTCTCACAATGATGACAGAAGTGCAAAAGAGCAGGAATAAACCGAAGTGTCTTCTTCAGGCCTAAACCTGGAACTGCCATCTTGTCACTATTGCCTCATTCTATTGGCTGAAGTGAGTCATGTGGCTGAACCCAAAAGTCAAGGAGCAAAGAAGTAAACTGTTCCTTTAGTACCATTTCAACATAGCAAAGAGTCGGCGCAGGGAGGAGTGAAGAATTAAAGCCTGTAGTGTAGTCCTCTACGTAGCTGTGTCCTGCTACCTTCCAATGGCCAGATTTCTTATGAGCACGATGTCATGTGCAGGTCCTCATTGGCTAGTTAGTTCTTCGTTTACTGATCCAGCAGTAGAAGCATGAGAGATGGTGTGGAGTGACTTACTTCAGAGACAACGATCTGAGCCTTGGGTTCATTCTTTGTCAAGGCATTTATTGTACATCTTCTAGATATAGAATACTTTAACTAGGAGCCCTGGTGGCAATAGGCTGCTAACCCAAAGGTCGGCAATTTGAGCCCACCAGCTGCTATACAAGAGAAAGCTGTGGCAGCCTGCTTCTGTAAAGATTTACAGCCTTGGAGACACTCTGGGGCAGATTTCTTTACTGTCTTATAAGGAGGCTATGAGTCAGAATCGACTCAATGGGAGTGTGCTTGGTTGTGGTTTTAGATAAGCTGTGTATTGTTGAAGGAGCCCTGGTAGACTTGTGGGTTACACAGTGGGCTGCTAACCGCAAGAACAGAAGTTTGAGTCCACCAGGTGCTCCACAAGAGCAAGACGAGTCTTTCTGCTCCCATCAAGATTTATAGCTTTGGAAACCCAGACAGTCTCATAAAAATAAAATTTAACTCATAGGAGATTTAGTTTTCAAACTATTTCTTTCATTACTTACATTTGATCACAAGTAATAATAATACATCAGAAAATCCTAAATCAGGCATTAATAAATATTTATTGAATGAGTTTTTTAAATTTCGATCTCTCCTGAGACTGCATGATTGGTGACAAATTACAAAAGAAATCCAAAATATCAATAAATTAAGCTAAAGGAATATGAGTCATAACTGACCTGACAACATCCAGCCAACCTTTGTGCTACTATTTTAAAAAGAGCCCTAGTGGTGCCATGGTTAAAGCACTCGTCTGTGAACCAAACTGTTAGTGATTTGAACTCACCAGCCCAATACAGTGTGCTTTTGTAAAGATTGTTGTTGTTGTTAAGTGCTGTTAAGTTGGTTCTGACCCATAGCGACCCTGTATTGGGTTTCCAGGAACAGCTGGTGAGCTTGAACTGCTGACCTTGAAGTTCAAATGGCTTCGCAGTCTGGCATTAACTCGCAGCACCACACCAGTACTCCTTTTGTGAAGATTCCAGCTGTAGAAACCCTATGCAGCAGTTCTCCTCTGTCCTATAGATAGCTAGCTATGAGTCAGAATCAACTAGATGGCAATGGATTTATATTTTGTTTTGGCATATTAAAAATGTAAAAAGAAAATCCTTCATAGGAGATGAGAGGATTGATCACCCAAAGAGGTAAAAGAGCAACCCGGAGAGAGAGAGGGTTTCAGGACAGAAAGAAATCATTTGCAGCTGACAGGTCAAAAAGGACAGGAATAAGAGGTTGGGGTGTCAAGGACTTAGGGAGTCACCAGACAATAATAGTTATTGGAAATCAAATCAATCAATGAAATAAGAACCTAAAATGCCTATAGTTACTAAGTCTCAAAAGTAGTCATCTTGTACCTTTTCCATGAAAGTATAATGTATCTTATTGATTTGTTTTAGGAGTAGGTTTTCAGGAAGTGGGGCATGTCATTCTAACGTGGTAGCATTGCTCTGTAGAATAAGTTTTTTGGCTGATTAACCCACTGAGCTTATTAGCCTGTAGGGTCTGCTATAAAAATCACAACTGTAGGTTGTATTTGTTTTTATTTCTTTTAATTGATATGCTAATCACTTAGTAGTTCAATGGTGATAAACATGTGAGGTAGACGTGTAATTTCTGTTCTTTGCACCCGGAGATGGACAGGTTTGAATTAATTGATGTTTTTGGTATTTCTAACATGCACTTAAAGATCAAGGCCATAGGTGAATTTTCCAATAAGAAAGGAAGGAGCTGAACTTTCCCACCTGACATCCCCAGGGCATGCTAGGAACTGAGCTATTCATAAAATGAGACCAGCCCACTGTAAAGGTCATGTAGGACAAGAGGAGCCTAGTTGTTTATGATTTGGGTAGCATTTAATTTTGGAGAGACAGAAAGAGTGTTTGTGTTTAAATTTTTCCTTTTTCTAAGCTGCTAAAATAATGAAAGTTAAAATATTCCTTTAGCTTAATTTATTGATATTTTGGATTTCTTTTGTAATTTGTCACCAACCATGCAGTCTCAGGAGAGATCAAAATTTTAAAAACTCATTCAATAAATATTCATTAATGCCTGATTTAGGATTCTCTGATGTATTATTATTACCTGTGATCATATGGAAGTAATGAAAGAAATAGTTTGAGAACTAAATCTCCTATGAGTTAAATTTTATTTTTATGAGACTGTCTGCATCTGATGGTTGATTTAGTTCTCATAGCATTTGCCTCAAGGTAATCAGTAGTTCTTCAGGCAGAGTTTTGTACAAATTGCTGCGCTCCAGTTATAAATGAGGGCTTTTAAATAGAAGAATTAATCTTAAAAAGAATATTGGACATTGAGTGTTTCCTCCTTTTAAACTCCTTATATTCTTTTCGGAGTCCCCTTATATTACATTTTATTTACTCACTCATCTGTTGATGAACATTTGGGTTGTTTCTACCTTTAGCCCTTATAAATAATGTTGCAGTGGACACTGGTGTACAAGTATCTGTTTGAGCCCCTGCTTCCAAGACTTTTAGTTATATACCTAGGAGTGGAATTGCCAGGTCATATGATTATTCTGTATTTAATTATTTGAAGAACTGCCAAACTTTCCCAAAGCAACTGTGTCATGTTACACTCCTGCCAGCAGTGAACAAGGTTTTCAATTTCTCCACATCCTCCATAATACCTGTTATTTTGTTTTTGTTTTTCTGAGCATAACCATCCTAGTTGGGATGATCTCATTGTCACTGTGATTTGC